AGAAAAATGAGCAGAAGCAGAGCTGAAAGTTGCTGATTTCCTAAAGTCCTGCAGGTAAAAATATAACTTTTAAATTCCCTCGACAGCTGAACCCTGAGTCACCAATATAATATTGGACTATTTCCTGACAAAAATCCCATATTATCAATTCTATGACATCTTTTATTGTTCTTATTTGAGATGATACCCAGATATATTAATACTGTTGAAAGTATATGCAGCACAGCAAAGGGTGTTTCAAAAATATCCCTGTTGGATGTTTAATCTGGTCTAATCTGATAAGTAAAGGCTCGTAATAAAAAGTTACAACATACAGACACTGACACCGCCCAACCTAGCAGGTATATATAGAGAGAATGATTTCTACATTTGATTTTGATCAACTTAGTTCTACTTCTGCACCAATTGAGCGTGAGAGAGGTTTCGCCACATATGTCACACAAAGTAACCCATTAAATCTACATTATTGGTCAGTTGGAAGACAAAAAAACCAACAACTCAATTTTAACTTTCTGCAGAATCTGACTCAGAGAGCCTCAAATAGTTAGGAATCAAAGTGCAATAGAAAAACAACTTTAAGAAAAGTATAAATATATACATATTTCTACCACGGTTTAGAAAAATATAGTCTTACTGCACAATAGGACAGTTGTAGGACCCTTACATAATGCTGATAGTGATTTCAAATAAGCTTACTGATCTGCTGATCGAGGGAAAACTGTTCAGTTTCCATCTCTGCGTCACTGATTAATGCATCTCTGACAAATGGGACGATAAAAACTGTTTAAATTTCTGACCATTATCACTCATTACATTAAGGAATCATAAAATAGAAAGGAAAACGCAAATAAAATAGGTTGCAAGAAGGTCTCACTAATTCTCATAGGAGCTAAACTTTAATGACTTCCTTCGACACTTAAACTTTTCACAATTATGCAAGTTCATGGTATGGTTAACGCATGTACACGTCATCACCAGTTATCACTGGGCGAGATGCTGAACATGCACAGTATAAACAGTGTCCGTCACAAAGTCAACATGAAAACACAAAGGTCAAGCAACTACAGATGCAAACACCCAGAGCCAAGAACAGTAGAGTGGCCCATTAGCTAAACATGGAGGATCTGCAGAGAACCCATGAGAAAAGGCCGAAGCTGGGACTCAATCCTTGGACATCTCTGCTGCAAAACAACAGTCCTAACAACAGTTAGGACTGTTCATTATGTAGTCATTGTTAGGTCCTACTGAGGAAAAAAGCAGAACATTGCACCTTGAAGCCAACACATCTGTTTCACTGCATCATTTATTATGACCATATGTATCATGTAAATATTCATTAATCCAGATGTCAAGAGACATTAGTTTGTGTAACAAAAATGAACTGTAATGCCATAACAAACACATCCCAAGGAAAAATAAACGCCTTTGTAATTACAATGATTATTTTTTTTGAAGATGTAAACACCGGCATGTAGGAAAAATGCACCAAATCTATTAATACAATATAAAACAAATGAATTGTATTTACTAAAGGCTTGTTACTATTATTCAGTAATAATAGATGGATCAGTTTTAAAGTTGCTGAGCATGGGTGTGGCATAGTGTCAGCCATTGCTACAGCCACTGTTTACATCTGGATTTATCATGTCTTTCTTCTTCTGAAGCGTAATTATGCCACACGTCTCACATCGATGTAAAAGTTGGATGAAATAAATAAATGTCTCTTTGAATTGAATCTGATTTAGTATGGAAGTGTGATCAGATCAGAACTGGGCTGTTCAGACTGTGGGAACGTGGTAAAGGAATTGTATATGAGCAGAAAAAAAATCAGATTTGTGTGAACGAAACCTTTGTTTCTCAAATGATTAAAAGTCATTTAACACAGTTTTCATTTGAAGTATTAATTATGTAGTCATTGTTAGGATATTAGCCAAGATGAAAAGATTGTTATAAGCCATTAACATCCCGAGTCCATCAGTGTTACTGGCTAACAATCATATTTCTCTTCCAAAGTAAAACATATGCAGCAATTTCAATCTGCAGTTTACACACCGGCAGGTTTCAAGAGATTAAAACTGTTATTTAAGGTAAATTTACACCAGCCTTGTTAAGTTCGCTTTAGTTAAAAGTCTCGTTCGTTAGTCTAAAATGTTCAGTTCATTTGGGGTGGAGTGAATCGGGGATCAAACTCTGATGCAGACCAAAAAAAAACAAACTCTAGTTCGCCTATAAACTCAGGTTTCAGCTCAGTGAATTCTGATGGTGCATTTGTTTTGATTGTATTTACCCAGAATGCCCAGCACCGCAGTCCACTTCCTGCTTTTGGAGCTCTGTGGTCCGCTTGGCGTTCACATATTGGAACTGGTGTTTTGCCGATGACAAAAGAGAAATCCTACAATTGCTAAGATCTGGCGCAACATTTTTTACATTTTGTGAAGAAGGATGTTTCACTTAGTAATTTCCTTCAGTGGTTCTTGGTGCAGCGCCACCACAGGTCAGAGAGTAAAAGGATTGCTCAAGGGGTTTGGTTGGTTTGATAGTGCCTTGTGAAAATGAACCGCACCAACAGAAAATGTAACAAATGTTTCAATTCTATCAGACTATCAGGTATCAGACCACAAGTCCAGATCAAGTCTCAAGTCTATTTTTGTGACATTATTTCTCAGCTTATCGCTAAACTTTTTGTTTCAGTTCATCTGTTGTCAGTGTTACCTAATGACTGTAACCAATAACTGTACCTGGTTACAGTTATTATTCCTTAGACATTTAATCCAAGTCATTTTCAGGAATAACTGAGAAAATAAAACATTTGCAAAAACAATAACATTGACTAGAAGCGCCGCAGTTTAGAAAGTTTTCAGAGAACACGGAGCTGTTGGTGACATTTATATAAATAATCTTCTACTATAATCAACTTTGAAAGAGCAGTTATTGTTTGCATAATTTGCGGTTGTAAATAGTGCAGGAGGTAAAATGAAAAAGTCATTTTCAGTGACAAAGTGGCCATATTTGCTTAACTGCTTGAAACTAAACTGTTCTTGGTACAGTGCCACAGCTCACATCAGCTTCTTTTCTAGACAAGCATCTGTCTCTGTACAAAACCATCTAAAACACTGACTGCACAGCACCTGTCCAGAACCACACAAACCCACAAAGGTAGGAAGAAACCAATGAACAGAGGACAAAAATAGCCCAGAAAGAAAAAAAAATTGATTCTGTGAAGACCTGAGTTCATGAAAAGGTTTCTCTGCTTGCTCTGTTTGTGTAAAGAGATGCCAGATTGGTAATACGAAGCTCACAGCTTGCTAACGGCTTTACAAATATATGTTTGTGGCGTTGCTTGCAAACTTTTTTAAGCAACTTCTGGGTTGCTGTTTTAAATAAATGAAACTCCGCTTCTGTAAGATCAGCTGGTTTAGAAAATACAATTCGAAATATTTAGGATGTATTATCATCTCTACATACCAACAACTTATGCCCAAAACATTTGAATAAATAAATAAGTGGTGGTAAGCAGGGGGAGACAGAGGGTGCCTGACAGGATGTTCTCAGATTGATTTCTCAACCAAAATCAATGCCTGAAACCTCCGTGAGTGAAGTGAGAATCAAGGATGTGTGTCGGTAAAGTCGGAGGAAGAAGAAATGGCAGACGCATAAAATACGGGGCAGGATGTATTGATGAAGTCAGCAGACCATTGTGTTAAAGACAAACTGCAACGTGGGGATGGGGTTGCAATATAAAATCAATATATTCCGCCACCCTTTGAAAGTAACAAGTCTCAGCGTCGTCTCCAACCCCTCACCTCTAAGAAGTGACTCAACTTCTCTGGTTTGGCTCCTGACAACAGATTAATTTGCTTTCCTCGAAGTCATGAAGGAAATCATTGATTATCCACGCATCAGCACATATCACCAACATTCCAGACTCTGGAACTGTGTTTATCTCTCAAACAGGTTGCCGGGGCTCCAAGGAGCATCCCTAAATATTTAGCCAAGGAGAAAATGTGTTGAATTTTGATAGCTTGCTTTGTGTCTCTAAACTGCTCTGTAACAACTTTATGATCCAGCTTTGAAGCTCAGTCAGACGACAAAAAGAGAAAAAGAGGAGCAACTTCAGCCTAAATATATTTCCACCCCCTAAAAAAATAATCCAGCAAATCAGAAGAAAAAACATGATTTCTAAAACATAAAGCCACGCTTGAAATTCTCACAAGGAAAAAATGTGTTTGTTGTTGTAATGAGGTGGATGAGGTGGGAGAACATTGGCTTTACATTGTTTTCACAGTAATGAAATGGAATCAATGAGGCTGCACTCTGACTAACTGCACTCTATCAGGCTGTCAGTGAATGTTGCAATGCATTCCTAAATGAATCAAAAAGTCTTCATTATAGGCAGATTGGTCTCTTTTGAGCACAGATTGATCCTGTTTAAGTCTGACACTAAACCACAGACAACCGTTTGCAAATAAAATGCATTTCCCTGGAACATTTTTGAACAGAAAAATCTCCTTATTGTTTCAGAAAACTGAGAAAAATAACCATAAAAATCTATCTAAATGTAAAAACATCAATTAAATCCGAACTGCTACTAGTCTTTACTGTTATATATATGATTACCATAATTACATACCTTTCTAAAATAATGGCATCACATAAGTGATTTTGGCCAATAAATAAATAAATAAAAAGAGAACACCTGAGATATTTCAGGCTAAATAAAATCACTGAGATTTGATTATTTTAGGAAGGTGACTCTTCATCAGAAATAGTTAATTACTGATGCGCATCACGAAAACAACAGGACTGTGCTTGACTCTGCTGATTGTATTTTCAAATAAAATTCAAGAAACAAAAGGGCATTCTAAGAATAACCAAATGATGAATATCTGGTCCTAAGGGGCGAAGTGAAGGAAACGAAGCAGACTCCGAAACCTGGGTCAACCTGTTGGGAAGATGAGGAAGTTAAAGCAGGGGGGGAAAATGACTTTGGGAACACTCACAATGCTGAAATTACGCGGCCCGCAGGGCTCTCCCTGGTACCGACAGTACAGCAGCATCTCCTCCAGCTGGTGTCCCAGCCGGTCCAGCAGCTCCTTCATACTCGGCTGGGACTCCAAAGGAGGAGGAAGGAAGTTTTTGAAGTCTAAAATCCGCGACAGCCACGGCGGCTCGCTGCCCGCGCTCTCTCCGCCGTCACCCAGCAGAGCCAGAAGCGCCTCTTTCGCAGCGGGGGAGACCTGCAAGTTGGGCGAGTCAGGTTCCTTCTCCAGCAGCCCCAGCCACCTCCCGGACGTGAATATGTCCGTCTTCTTCATGCGTCGAGGAAGCAGCAGGTTCTGGTTGCAGATGGTGACGGCGGGGAAAACCAGCCGCTTGGCGTAAACCATGTGCGCCTTGGTGTACATGGGCGAAGAGAGCAGGTACCGCACTCTGTTGGAGGACCAGGCGAAGAACAGAGCCACGGCCGCCAAGAACGCAAGAAGCCACGCCACTCTCCGTGGGTACGAGCCGCTGAGGAAGATGTGCCGTAAGCCGTGCAGGGTTGTGTGTTTCAGGAAGAGTTTCCCAGCCTCGGTGAGAGAACCCGGACTCGGCTTGGATCCAGAGGACGGGCACATTTTCGAGAAACGCCGGTGCGCACATTCAACATCGGTCCCGCCGTGGTAAGGGTGACCGAGCCAGGACTCGTCTTTGCGCACTCGGAAGGATGCAGTTAGTGAGAGGATTTCTTAAAGAGAGGAGAGACTGAAGCGCACGCAGCTCCTCTCGGTCCTCTCAAGCACTGAGCAGCAGCTTGAGGCGGTGATGGGGGAGTATTTTGTCAGGCGCGCAGCGCTCCCTGAGCGTGTCCGGGAGGGGGAAGCGAAGTTAGTCAGAATGATTTAGTGCGCTAATGTGCAGCAACAGGAGTCAGGGGGATTATTTCATCTAAATTACAAGCAGTTAAACTCCGAGGATATATTCCAAAGAGACGACAGATTTAGTTAAAATCACACGATCATATTTCATAGCACGTTCATCCCGCCTGCTTCCGAGATTATAATTTTCCAATTTCTGACATCTCCCCCCAAACACAGTGTGTGTTTTACGCACACATAAACACACACACTCACGGACATGTATCATAAATTAGGATATAATCTAAACGTCAGTTGAGTAATGCAGCTCGTATTTACTATAGATTTATTACACAGAGATGGATATTTTTTATGTTTATGTATATTTTATAAGATGGGTTGCAGTTTATAAAACCACAATATTAGGATTACCAGGAAATTTGAATGACAAAAAGGGATTCTTCACACATATGTTCTCCAGGAAATAGCTGATTAAAGAGTATCCAATCATATTCTTGAAAAGTTAAGTGGAAGGAAAAAGTATGCAAGCTGCTTAAGGTCCGTGTGAAGTTGTGATGATTTGAAGAGCCAAGTTACTTGTTACTGTGTTTTATCAAGTGCAAAGTCAACACAGTTGTCTACCACACATTATTAAATATTATTGAGTTTACGGTCATGACCCGATCAGTCTCGTTCTCAGCTTACAAGTAACTTTTGGGAATAACAACCTTTAAGTAGACATTAAAAAAAAAAAAAATTAAAATATTTTTTATTGGTCTGATGTTATATTCTAATTTTAAATGTTGTGTTTTCATTAGCCGTAAGCAGAAAATCTACGTGATTGAGAGAAATCATGATGTTTGTCAAATTGATGTGTGTTTCACTGATAGAGTTACTGAAATAGATGGACTTTCAATAATTTTCCAATTTATTGAATGGGTCTGTATATAGTACACAGTACACAGACACTTTTCAATAGACTAATAAAATTGAATACCTTTTGCAATGTTGAAGATTAACAGAATTAAACTGAAATAATCAATTTGTGTGGAGTAGATCTCTATACATCTTTTAAATTGAATTACTTGAATAAATGGCCTTTCTTATGATTTTCTAATTTACTGAGATGCACCTATAGATTCCTGCTGAATATGATTAGTGAAGCTTGCTGACTGAAATCTCTGGGCTCGGTAAATGCAGATCATTTGTCTTCCTTTTCAACTCCGTCGCACACATAAATAGCTTTGGGGACACATGCGCCCTAACTCCTGCAAGCTTCACAGTTTCTCATTCAGTGTTTAACACTTACATTACAAAGGTTAATAGTAGAGGGGATGTTGTCTGCAACATGAGAGCGACACCAGTTACATTACTCATTATCCTGCATCGCTCACACTCGCATGAAGGGTAAGTAAAGCTGACATTACAGAGCTGACAGCTGTGCCTCGGTCAAACATGTAACATCAGAAGGAAAACAGAAAGGTCAGGATGCTACTTGGAAGTTAATGAAAGTCCTGTGATGCATCTTTGAAGGATGAAGTCTAAATACGCTAAAGCGCCTCTTTAATTGATTGCATGGTGGGTGTTTTTGACTCCGTTACGCCCAGGTTTGGTTTTATCGAGGGTGGAGCTTTTGCCAGGTCTTTCAGCCATTGACAAAGCGTCTGCAAAAACAATCTCCCTCTTGGGGTTTTTGGTCAAGCTGTAGCTCACGCTTGGTTGGTCAGCAACACACACAGAGATTCAAGAGTGAGAGCTGCTGTGCAAAGTGTCTGCTCCACCTCTGAAGCTGAGAGTGTGGTTTTATTGCGTCGTGCATGACGGAGAAAAAAAGAACTGAACATGAATGAGGAGGAAGAGAAGACGGCAGAGGAGCACTTAGAAAATCAATGTTTCACATCTTGTCACTTTATTCTGAAATGTGGAGAATTGCTGAAATAGGTAAAGACAATGACAGGCAAGGCATTCAAAAAGTACTGATCAAGTAAAAGTGGAAAACTGGGTATTTGTTCATGTAAGTCAAGCAAACGACAGTCAACTAGCTCAGGCCTGCAAAAGTAATATCAAATTCATGTTCTGAGATAATTATAAATTTGCTCAATTATCATAATTTAAGTGTCTAAACCTTGAAGGGCAAAGCAGAAAAATCCCTTTTCTATGTCTCTCTACTTTCTGATACATTTAACAGACAGATTGATGTGACACCCAATAATTACGTGCAATTCCAAGACAGACACATCTTATGTTCATGTATGTGCACCTTTTCTCGACTCAAAATGAAAACTTTAATGAACGTTTGCAGAGTTTGTTTATTTTTTGCTATTTGCATTACACCAGCATGCAAATGAAGACAATTCTTTAATGAATTCCAATGATTTGAAAATCTTTAACCTTTTTTCTAAATGGCAGACATGAAGTCAGGATCAATATTTTGAGATGTTTTCAAATTGTTAACATGTTTGTGATGAACCTTTTGCCCAGTGACCGCTGGAGACAGGCCACTAAATGGGTTCACAATAGTTACAATAGTCCGACATAGAGGACGACAGAGGTGGGGATCACTTTTTCTGCATCTGGTAGGGAGAAGTTAGAAAGGTAATGGAAGGAGATCTGGCAGAGTTAGGAGTCTATTTTGGCTCCAAGGTCAGTAACGGATGGGCGGAGGGCGGCGACTTGACCACAGAAAGTGATGCTGATTACAGGAGATGACTGGATGTGTTTATTTGTAGAAAGCTGAGGCACATGTGGACCTTTATCTCTCGAAATTTGAGATGAAGGTGATTTGATTTACAAAGTCCAAAGGAGAGTTTGTTATATGAGTAGCTGTGTATTTCAGAGCCTAAATTAATTTTGAACTACAATATTTTATGCTTGACTGTGTTTGGACATGAATGTTAGAATTTCCAAGATCAATAGACGTTTCTATCGCATATTTATAAAGTTGTTAAAGTTGCAGAAAACAACAGTTTCTTTTGCAAATCTAACAGTTAAATCATTTTAATGGATTGGGACACAATGCATTGCACAACCCTAATTTGTGAAAATCCTGTGGCTCATTGAGTTAGAATGGAAGGAAGCACATGGTTACGGTCTTATTGATCACAACAATATTAAAATCACACTTGTTATCAACTTTAAAGAAGTTCTGACTTCTAAAACAAATTGAAAGCATCAGTTTGTTTTACTGAGTTACTGGGCGCCGGAATTGAACTTTTTCCATTCCAATGCGATAACGATATTGCAGTTTTGAGTATTGCTCAATACTGATATTGACCTGAGATGAGACAAGCACAGATCACTCATACTTTCATTAATTATTTTGCAGTATGTAGTGGTAAAAAAAAAAAAGCTTAATCGAGTGAAAACAGGCTAATAGTTCCAATTTAAAACAGTGTTTCTGCCTTTTTCAACAGGAACAATAAGTTCATACATGTAACACCAGACCAGATTGTTTTGTCCATTAGGAAAACTACGTTCAACTCACCGTAAAGGAGGAAATCAGTCAACTGAAAGAAGCTAGAACCAACTCCAGGTTTCCTGGTTGGAACAAGAAGCAGCCTGCTGTTCTCCTGGCACCAGTTTGTCTCTGCCCCCTTTGTAATGCTCCCTTAGAGGATAATAAAGTCTTCCTTTGAGGTTATCACTTCTATTTTAATAAGAGAATCTGTCATGAAGAATGGGTGCTCAACCACTGGCCTTTGATTGCATCTCAGTGCCATCACATGCATGGCTTCAAGATTACCACCTGGCAATAAAGAGAAGACTGGCTGAATCCGGTAAGAAATTGAGACCACGTTCTAGTTTTTATTGCTCAATCAGAACTTCTTTGAGTGGTTTGACTCGCCTATAGATGGAGGTGATGTGCCTCAAATGAGGTGATGGGTGGTGCATCAGAATCCATTGGAGACAGATCCTGACACTTGTGGCATTTAACAGCATTTGTTCAGCCCTGTTTCCCCAGCCACCTCATCAAGAGAGAGACATATCGGAGGAGAGGCTCTGTGCAACAAGCTAATCCGTCTGGGTGAAGGGATAATTATGTACTTGCCTGACAGACAAGCACAATCCCACAACAAGTGTAACAACAACAACAACTGAATAACAAATGAATGCTGTTCTAAAATCCGCGGTTAAAGAGTTGCACTAATGAACCTATTATGAAAGCAAGCACGGATATTTGTTAGGGGACCTTAGGCACATATCTTTAGTTTATTAATACCAAAGCAGCTGTGGCAGTAATGAACATCCTGTTCTATTGTTTGGCTTCTGAAAGGGGAGCTGAATTTTTCACTGGATAAAAGAATAACAGCATTTTTAAAATATGCTTTAGCCTTAATTAGAAAACAAGTGAACATAGAGATACAGAGGCCTGATTAAATTGCAATGAAGATCTTTTTTGAGCTTTTGAGAATTCAAAAATCTTGTTTCATGAACTTCTATAAGGAACCATGCTGCTAAAGTAGTTGATTTTAAGGGCAACAACTTTATCAAAGCTCTTCATCGTTCATATAAAAGTGCAAATATGTGTATTTTTGGTCATTTTGCTGATGAAACCTGGGATGAATCTTTGCTGATCGAGTCAATTTCACAAATTTACAATGAAACCAAAGAGGGTGTAATTACATCATCATTTTATGTCCACAAATGTCAGTATCCATGAACAGTGATGTCGTGAGTATCCATCGCAGGCCATAAAGCCTCACAGAGTATTAGCTGCTTGATCACTGGGAGCTAATGTGAGAGTGAGTGATCAGCACATAGCTGTGTTAGGGCTGGTTTTCTGCCCAGACAGTTAATCTAAATGAGGAAAAAAAGACTTCAGTTTCAATCAGCGGGGTCAGCGGAGCAGTGAATGTTTAAAAGCAGAGTGGAGATAAATGAAAAGCCTCTGACGAGCGGAGTTATTTAAATGTTTCCACTTGGAGTC